TCACGACCCATTTAAAAAGCCTTTAGAAAGGTCTTGTGTGATATATTTACAAATCAAAATATATATCTTCTTTAAGCTTTATCCTTGTAGTTTAAGTCCTCTAAGTTTCTTTCTTGACCCGCCTTAAGGCGGCGCGTCTAGCTTTCAAAGAGTTCAGGCTAAAATGACAAAAAATGTAATGCGATCTGTTTTGACGGCTGTCACGCAAGAGGTCATGTATTTGGTACATTCCTGGTCATTTTTTAGCCCGACCTCTTTGAAAGCTGGACGCGCCGCCTATGGCGGGCCAAGAAAGAAACTTTGATGAATTAAACTAAAAGGATAAAACTTTAAGATGATATATATTTTGGTTTTTAAATATATCATACAAGACCTTTTTGAAAGCCTTTAAATGGGTCGTGACAGCTGTTCAGGGGTTCTCATTGGCTATTTGTGGTATTTTCCTTTCTTCTGATTGGCTGTTGTTTAGATTTAATGGCACCGAAATGAAATAGCTCTAACATGGTATGTCATTTTAGTTAGTCAGTTTAAGTTCTGATTGTCCACTTTTCTTACAGATCTTTCCGCTACAGTAATGTACAAGATCACCAAGGACATGTGTGGGTTGAATGCTGTCAGTGAGTAGTAGTGACATGAAGATGTGTCGGTATTCTATGCATCCATCAGCGAAAATAACTACACTGAGCTTTAACTGAACACCGTATAATTTTTAACCTCAAAACAGTCGTTCCTCTACGCAGTTCGATTGACATGTTACCATTGCGCGCACGCACGCACGCACACGCACACGCACACACACACACACACGCACACACACACGCACACACACAAAGACCCTGACTATTGTCAGGAACAAAGATTAATTTTGTAGCTGTCTAGGTAGGTTAGGTCGTCTTATCTTGACCATATTTCACACATAGAAATCTTCATGAACCAAAAGGTGATTAGAATTTGGACCCACCCAAATTAACAATATTTCTTTGGCTGATTCACACATCAAAATGATCAGACGTTCCACAGCTACTCACGATACAGTTACAGAAGTTTTAGTGTTTTCAACCTAAGAACTGAATCTTTAACCACATGACTGGTGCTCATAGTATGGTATCTTTTATCTTTATTTCTATAGACCAACCTTGATGATGTGGAAGTAACGTGCTTCGAGACTGGTCTGGGACTTATTTAGAGTTCTTTGACATTGATTTATAGTAGAAATATTCTCATATTCTATTAACAAATTAGTCTGAACAATTATACCCAATTATACCAATTTGCTTAAATCAGGGACTGTATTTTATCATCGAAGATGTTAAAGTTATCCTGAAAGTACTGTGAGTTTTTGAATGATTTGAAAGAAAACTTTGTGAAGCATTAGAAAAAGTGTAGTTAGTGTAGTCGCAAAGTAGAATTAAAGTTTTAGCCTTGGTTTGCAGCTTCTTTGGTTCGTTTTATAACCGCCGTCTGGTTAGCTCAACTGGGAGAGCGCCGGACTGCTGTGCGGGAGGTCGAGAGTTCAATACCGGCCGGACCATCACTCAGGGTCTTAAAATTAATTGAGAAGAATATGCTTCCTTTCTTTAACATCAAGAAATGGTTAGATATTCTAGTCTTCTCGGATAGGGACGAATAAATGGAGGTCCCG